TCCATCGAGGCACTGTCTTCCATGATGCAAACCCTTACCACTAGGGTCACTACCATGGAACAAAACAAGGTCACTGTTTCCACCCTTGACAAAATGAAGGAACAAATGAGTAAGATTTCTGAGGATTTCACTTATGTGGAACGGCCTCCCACTCCTTTGGATGTGAAAGACAGACTCCCTGAAAAGTTCTCCATTGCTGATATTCCAAATTTCAAGCCTACTGACAATCCAATATTCCATTTGAAGGCGTTCTCTGCAACCATGGCTCTTAAGGGATTGGACGTAACACTCTTCCCTACGGTGTTCCCTCTCTCCTTAGAACATGCTTTCCAACAATGGTTCTATTCCCTAGATGCCAAGCGTACTGCGACTTGGCAAGATGTCACCGAAAGTTTCATGAATCGTTACAAGTGTAACATTCAAACTAAAACTTCTGAACGTGAACTCTCCATTCTCATACAGAAAGAGAATGAAGGCTTCACCGCTTATCTGAACAGGTGGAGGAAAACGGCTTCACTCTTAGTAGATCCTCCCAAAGAAAGAGAGATGGTTCGCCTCTTTATTCAAAATCTGACTCACAAGTATAGGGAATATCTCAAATTTCTTCCACTGAACACTTTCGAAGCTGTATACCACATCGGCATCAATATCGAGGATGAGCTAATAAAGACTGCTGGTAGTAACAATAATAACACTTGGAAAAACAAGAAGAACGACCATCCTTATTCTTAGTCTTCTAAGCACGAAAATACTACCAACAATATAAGCCAAGTTGATATCAATGAAGTGTTAGCTCTTGATGCTCCATTGCCCAAGAAGAAAAGAACTTACACTCATTTAGGAATGACTTATGATGCGGCCTTTGATCGCCTTTAGGGTCAAGGCTTGATCACACCTATTGGGCCATTTCCAGAGCCAAAACCTGAAGAAAGGAGCGCCAAATGGAATCCCAATGCCCATTGCAAGTACCATCAAGGAAGGGGCCACACCACGAAGCAATGTTGGAATTTAAAGGACGTCATTTAAGACTTGGTGGATGCAAACAAACTTCCTGTCCCTCCAGGCGGCAAGAAGTAATGAACACAAGGCGCACAGCAGATCCTTCGTGCAAGATTTCATGATTTCTTTCTTTATCATTCATCTCCATTCCCCATTCATGTTTAGCATAGGTTTTCCACTTTATATGTTTCATGTGTTTCGTTCACCTTTTCCATTAATAAAATGAGCAATTTTCCTTTACAACTCGATCATAGAATTTTTCATTCATTCATTCATTCGCAAAAAAAAAAAAAAAAAAAAAAAAAAAAATCAATTACCGAACTAAACACAAAGTACACCAATGACTTGATGCACCTTTGCAACCCTGTCATTCCCTGTTAACCATTCAATCACATTCCATTTCTTCATCAACAACTTTGAGCCTCGTCTAACATTTGACCTTCATTTCTTTAGCCCACATTCACTTAAACCTGGGATTGGAAGATGTGTAATTGTATAACATTCAAAAAGCAAGTAAAAAAAAAGCAGCAAAGCAACAATACAACAATGTCTAAAGGCAAATGTTCCAATGTCTTTGATATGAACATGTCTCAAATTGCGTCTCTCATCGAGTGCTTGGTACCGTGCCTGAGAAACATGAATTCTAAGTGAGTGATGGACCGCATGATCTGAGATTGCCTACATTGATTCAAAAGAATGAAAAAAAAGAGAAGAAAAAAATATATATTGAAAATAAACTTGCAAAATCCAAAATTTTCAAAATTACACATCTTGGAGATTCTCTCAGGACTTGAGCCTTTTACCCCTTTTTCCCTTAAACCATCAACTTAACCACATTACAACCCTTGAAAGACCTCTTTAAGGTATACATACACTTGTGCAAAGTTCGGTTAGAGCTACGTTCGGCCTCATTCCTAACGGATACGTAGGCATACTCACATTGAGGTGCGGCCACATTCATATTCATATCTATGCATGATCGAGTCAAAGAATATCCAATGCTTATCTCTATATCCCTACCCATTTAGAGCTAGACTTGGGGGCTTGAACCCAAATCACATTAGCTTACCCAGCCTGAAGAGTCATCATCTTTAACTCTTCTCACATCTCTTTCCATCGCCATAACCCTTGCAGCCAGCCTTAGTATCATATTCACACACTTCACTCACACATCCATTTCCATATCAATCATCCTTCCCTTTAAGAGCCCTTTATCATGAAATCTTGTTTCAACACTGTGCAGGTTTCATCATATTTAAAGACAACATTCATTAGAAGAAACATTGTATACTTGCTTAGCTTCCTGACCTGAGCAATGTTCATTGTTTCGCATATTGTGCTGAGAAACATTTATATATCAATGATTTTTAATCATACAAAGCATATAGTGCTTAGCTCCTTGACCTAAGAAACGTTCATTATGCAATAATCACTATACGTGCTTAGCTTCTAGACCTAAGTGACGTTCAAAATCGCTTCTTTACACCATATATGATGCTTAGATCCATGACTTAAGTTCATTCATCTATCGTGTCACATGATGTAATTGTCCTTAGCCTCCTAGCCTAAGAACATGCATCATGCAAACATTACTTTCAAGAAAAGCAATCCAATCCATGCGATTCATTTTGTCTTGCTCAACGAGGAAGTTCAAAACTTCTTTCCTTTTTTCGCGTCTTTTCTTTTAGGGAAGTTAAAAAATAAAAATTCCAAATTTTCTCATCGAGGGAAGCTCGAAAATAAAAGTTCAGTTTTCACATCTTTCTTTTTCGGGAGAAAGTCGGTACCCTCCACTCTTGACAAAAATTGACAGAAAATTTTTGCTTTTGCATCTTCGTTTGCTTGTGTCTACACACACACATATACACACTCACACACACTCACAAGTCATACACATGTCATGTCACATCAATTCAAACTTGGTCAAGTTAGTGGTCAAGTCAATCACAGTATATACGAGTCCATTGACAAATTTATTTTTGCAGGTCTTATCTACAGCCCACGTCCGGGGACAAACGGACCATTTACAGCCCATGTCCGGGGACAAGCGGACCATCTACAACCCACGTCCGGGGACAAGCGGACCATCTACAGCCCACGTCCGGGGACAAGCAGACCACCATCATTTCATGACGCAAGGTTCTCGATAAAAAAAACCAAACCCGATGATGAACAACCTTTCACTGCCACTATTGGTCGGGTTTAGTATTTAATCCCGAGAGTGCTTAAAAAATCGTATTTTATTAAATTGATATTTTTGAACAGTCCATGGATTAGTCTTGATGTTTGGTAAAAGCATAGTTTTAATTTCAGCCCAAACTTATTAATTAATTTTTAGCCCAAGCCTTTTTATTTTATTGTTTTATTATTTATTTTTGGCCCAAACCCTTTATTTATTTTTATTTAATTATTTTCTTATTTTAGCCCGAATGATAAAAAGTCAGAAAAGGCCCGAAATTATCGATCGTCACTTAAAATGCCGAAGGAAATTAGGGTTAAAAATGTATTTAGACGGAAAAACAGGCTGGAATTTCCCGCGCCACGGCAGGTACCTACCGTGTCACGGGAATCCTTCCCGTCTGACGGTGGGATTTCCCGTGACACGGGAGGTCTGCCGTGACACGGGACATTCCGTGTCTTTTCCTAGTAAACCCTTAACGCGTTTTTTATCCAATTTTCTGAAAATTTCCCGCGTCACACCAAAAATGTACCGTGTCACGGGAAAGTGTACCGTCTGACGGTGGGACTTCCCGTGTCACGGTACAGTTTCACCGTGTCACGGGATACTTTTTTAGGGTTTTTATCATTTTAGGGTTCCGTGTGCTCCCTCAGCACATTTTCCCTATAAATGCCCCCTCATTTCTAATGTACGGGGCACCGAGTAATTCTCTAATTTTATTCTCCTCTCTTCTATGATTTAGCCTAAACACTAGCCTATCCTTTTTATTTCAAAATTCCTTCTTCAAGTACTCAAAGGAGTCCATACTTCACTCGTGGTTCCATCCTTAAGCCAAGGCGTGAAAGGTAGAATTGTTTGAGGGTTTGGCCCCAAAATCAACTTTACTTTATTTAATTTAATTTAATCATTGCTTTATTATTTTCTTGAAGTTACTAACTCGTTTATTATTTTGTAATTGCAAACAAACAGAATCAAAGTAAGGATCATGCTCCTTTTATTTTTATTATTTTTCTAATGATTTTATGTTGTTGGAATTGTGATTAATTTGGTTTTAATATTAATGTTGTTCTATTGAAAATTGATTGGTATTTCCTATTCTCAACGAGTTTAATTTCATTTTAACTCTTGGTAAAAAAAACATCACATTTGATCTCGTCTTTGTAGTTTCTGATGGTTTGGATGATTTAATATTGAGTTAGTGATTAATTATGTAATTGGAATTAGTAGACGATGTTGTGATGTTGGTGTGTGAATTGTATTTTTGGGTGATAATAAGTTAATTGTTGAATGCTATCTATATATGTGCATGTTGCTGGCTTACTTCATAAGATCTATCATCTATATATGATTGTGCCTTCACATTTTATATAAACTTGCATTTCCACTTGTGATTAAGCTTCTGGATGTATGGGATGAAAGAATCCTTGTTACGTTATGATAAAGTGATAACTAAATTGTAGCATTTGTACAAAATTAAACAAGAGAATACACATAAAATTTATGTCCCCTGCCTTTTTATTAAGTGATATTGTTTCTTGAGATTTTCCTCTTTAGTCAAATCCTTTATTTATTGGTGTGTAGATACTTTATTTTTTTATGTAGCTTTCCATGTCTTTTTGAAACTAATTGATGAAATTATAGGTTTGTGAATTCAATTGTTTATTTGTTTGTTTGATCAATTGTATTAGCAAAAATTATTTCGTAAATTGATGAAAGTATAAATTTGCTCCTGTTTTGTTGAATATAGATGATGGCATTATTGAAGAGGTTGGTTTGATGAACAAGGTAAGCTTTAGTTCATCGCATGCCATTCTAAATCTTATTAACATATTCATCTGGATATCAAGTTTTCTTTACACTTACCATGTGCATATCATGTTTTTTAATGCTTGCTTTGCGCATATCGAATTTTCATTACGTTTTTTATCTTTTAAATTTTCCCATCATGGAGTTCAAATAAAGTACTTTGGCTTGCCTTTGTTTACTGTGTAACAGATGCTGTTGAATAAGAAATGTTGATCATGACTATGGATTCCGAATAAAGAAACTGGTACCGAACCTTTGCTCTTTAGCACCATATATATATGTTTGTCTTAAATGTTTACCTTCAAATTTTATAATTCGAGTACTTCATTTATATTCAATTTCAGGTGAAAAACCTTTATACAAAGGAATGAAAGAAGGACATGGGCTTATTGTTCTTAAGGATAGGATAATTAGGAAGTTGGAACCTTTACAAGTGCAAACTGACCATCAACCCTCCTTGGCTCCTTTGTAGAACAGCCTACTCAATCGATTTCTGTAAAGATTTGATACAAAAGGAAGATTGGGAAGTGCCATTCTCTAGTGCCATACCTTTCTATTTTTTTTAGTCGGTTTGATGACTTCTTGGTTTTGTTTTTTTTGGTGCCTGTATATCATGTCAAAAATAAAACATGGACCTTTTATCCGGCTTTCTTGGTAGCAATTGTTCTCTGGAGAAAGCTGGTAGTACTCAAAATCTATTCTTGATTTAAAGATCCTTTTTACTTAGTATTTTAAGACTTTAAGATCTTTTTTACTTAGTATTTTAAGACATCTATACGAAGTATTGTTGCAAAATATTATAATAGGAAGTGTTATTAGCCATTTGGCTCATGTATAATCTTTCAGGAAAACGTGTTGTACCCTTTACCGGCTCAGTGTAATTTCCAGAAGTTCATTTGAGAATAATTTATTTTATGTACATGTTATACAATTTGTATTATAAACTAATCTCGAAAAATGCAAACAAAAAGACCCAGAATTAATAATTACAAATTGAAAAAAAGAAAAAACTTGTTTTGCAGGCTATTTTACGCTAAGGTCTTTTTTAATAAAAATTATTAACAATAATCATAAGGTCGATACTTTTAAAATGAAATTATTTGAATTTTATTTGAGTAAATGTCATACGATTATTAATTTATAGTGGTGCATAATCAAGTTTCCATCAATTTTACTTGTAAGAATATGTAAATAACTTTTTTTTACATAGTTTATATCTCTTGATTAAAGCTAAAAGATTGATAACATTAGTCTAAGTTTATTTTCCTTACAAGAAATATGATCCGTTTGTATTAACATATGGCCAAGGAAATAAATTTTAATGTTGCACAAGTGTGAGAATGATTGTCACAGTATAAAAAAAAAAAAAGGACCCGTGACACTAGTGTTTGTTTGCCACGGGAAAAATTATTTGTTGTGGCAACAATGTCCATCTGCCACGGGAACAAAATTACTTGTTGCAAAAGTGTTAATTTGCCATGGGAAAAAATTTAGTCGTGGCACTAGTTTCAATTAGCCACAAACTTCATTTTTCCCGTGGCATAATTTTTGTTGTCATATCAAGTTTATTATTCAACTTATTTTTTCCCGTGGCAAGCTTAAATTATGCCACAAATATTGTATTCCCGTGGAATAATTCGTGGCACAAGAGTTAATTTGTTGTAGTGACTCGATCTGGCGCAACACTTACTAGTAGGCTCAATTTCCACATCTTGCTTGTTCAATTCCACCTTCTGATCTTCAAAGCCAAGACCGACAGTCTAGAGGGCTCTTTCTATTGCATCAACTTCCTTCTGCCATTTGTCTATTTCATCTGTAAAGGATGCAACACCAAATACCGCCTCCAAGGGATCTTTTACAAGAGCTTGGAGCTTGTTAGAATAATTATGAACCACATCAACACTAAAACACTTCTCCTCTGTCATGGGGATTTTAGGGGTATTATTTAGATTAAAAGTTATTTTATCGTCCCCTACTGATAATGTCAATTTGCCACATCTCACATCTATAATTGCTCTTGCAGTGTTAAGGAATGGTCTACCCAAAATAATTGGGGTTTGCGTATCCTTAGCCATATCAAGAACAACAAAATCAACAAGTATATAAAAGTTACCTACTCTAACGGGAACATTCTCTAAAACACCTAAGGGGTATTTAAAAGAACGTTCGGCCATTTGTAGAGTAATATTAATAGCTTTTAATTTACCAATATTTAGCTTGGAACACACAGGCAATGGCATAACACTAACGTTAGCACCCAAATCACATAATGCATTATCAATCATTAGATTGCCAATATGACAATGGATAGAAAAACTACCCGGATCTTTCAGTTTAGGTGGAGATTTATTTTGAAGTACGGCGCTACATTCTGCAATGAAAGCTACTGTCTCTACCTCATTAATAGACCTTTTTCTTGTCAATATTTCCTTCATGAATTTTGCATATGCATGAATTTGTGTAATTAATTCAGTGAAGGGAACTGTTACCTGCAAATCTTTAACCATCTCCAGAAACTTACAAAACTGCTTATCCAAATTTGTTTTTAAGTGACGATTGGGAATGGAAGTTTGATAACTATATTTGGAGCATTACTGCTCTTATCTGGAGCTACTACCTTCCTTGGAGTCGTACCCTGCAATGTATTATCAGAAATATTAGTACTACTCTTTAGCCCTGCAGGGCTATTAGCTACATTATCAAGTTTAATGAAATCAAGATTAGCATTATTTATTAAAACAGGTTCATCATCTCTGGGCATAGGGGGCCCTTCATAGTGTGAACCAATCCTTAGAGTAATTGCATAAGCTTGATCCGTAGGCCTGGTTGGCTGTGCTGGCAGGGCTCCCTATTGACGGGCTTTTAGAGTATCAGAAATCTGCGCAATTTGATTATCTACAATTTTATTATGTGCTATGATCGAATCAATTTGGGCATCTCTACTCTCCTTGTGCTTCTGCATACTAGCCAGCATCGCTCTAATTTCTACCAAAGCAGGGTCGAAAGATGAGAAGGGTTGTTGTGGTTGGTTCTTCTGGCCAGCATTGGGGTGGTAATATTTCTGCTGAGATTGTGGTGGCGCCTGTGATTCTTGTGGAGGTGGCGGAATTTGAACATTGGTGCTTCGGTAGGAAAGATATGGATGATTCCGGTACCTAGGATTGAAGGTGTTGGAGTATGGGTTATTCTTCCTATAAGCTTGAAAGGCATTGACTTGCTCCACGAAACTCCTGCAATCTTGCTCCTAATGACCTATAATTCCACAATTTTCACAGAAAGCCTCATTAGCATTATTATTAATTGCAGAAACAGCTACATTTGCAGTACTAAGATTATCTAATTTCTGGCAAATATAGGTTAATTGAGCTTGTAAAAAGGATACAAAGTCGACACTATGTTTCCCTTTGTTAGCAAAGCCTCTGGGATTCCCATATTGGGAATTATGAATTGCTATATCTTCAATAACTTGACCTGCATCATCAACATTAAGGTTCATAAACCTCCCACTAGCTGCATAATCCAATATTATTCTAGATGAATTTCCAATCCCATTGTAAAAGGCTTGGATCAACTGCCATTGTGCCAGATTATGGTGGGGACATTATCTCTGTAGGTCCTCTAACCTCTCCCAAGCCTCATATAGAGTTTCATCGGCTTTTTGGGCAAAGTTCTAAATAGCACTCCGTAGTACAGTTGTTCTCTCTGTAGGATAATATTTATTATAAAATTTTAAAACAAGAGTCTCGTTGTCATTTATAGTATTTATACCAAGTGTAGTTCTATTTAATCCATTAAACCATAATTTGGCTTTTCCACATAAAGAGAAAGGAAAGAGAATCTCCCTGATTTGGTCTTGTGTGACCCCAGCTTGCCTAATGGTATTACAATACTGACAGTAGTCTGCAATATGAAGATTTGGGTCTTCACCCTTAGCTTCACTAAATTGCTTCATTTCTATTATTGTGTTGAATTGAGGTTTAATCTCGAATTGTACCCCATCAAGAGCTGGAGTGGGAGTAAGGTGTGGAAAATCCATAAGCTTTGGCTATGAATAATCACTGAGCTTCTTAGGTACCGCCATCTCTGATTCTGGATTTGAAGGTATCTCTGAATTGCTGGAATCAGTTGGAGGGTCTCAGCGATTATTATTATTATTATTATTATTATTATTATTATTATTATTATTATTATTATTATTATTATTATTATTATTATTATTATTATTATTATTATTATTATTATTATTATTATTATTATTATTATTATCCAGAATTTGCCAGCAAAAATTCTTTTGTCTATGGAAGGATCGTTCGATCTCAGGATCGAATGGGATATAAGCCCATGTGGAACACCTGGGAAAAAACAAAGAACTAAAAGCAAATATAAGACTTGCCTCAAAGAACAAACGTTCTCTGAGACAAGAAGAAATAACCTAGACTACAAAAACAATCAGAAATAAAAATAAAATCGTTTCCCCGGTAACGACGCCAAATTTTGACAGGCTCAAGTCGTATCACCCAATCAAAAGTAATTCCTAAATCCTCTAACTAATGCAGATAGGGAAGTAAGGTCGAATCCATAGGGAAACTGGTCTTTCTATTCCTAATTAATTAAACCAATTCTAATTTATAAAGTAACCAATATATTATGGTACAAGGAAACTAAACTACGGAGAGTAAAAATAGAGAAGAATAAAACTAGAGGAAAATCAATGAATAAAAGATCTAGGGCATAGGTTCACCAATAAATAACATTCCAGTGTAAAGCATGATAATCAAACATCAATGCATCAGTTAATCAGATCATAAAGGGATTTTGCTACGCATTACAATCACAGAATTAATCTACCGGTATTAAATCTCATCTCTCGAATCTCGACTTCACCATTTATAAATCAACCTGCCTATTGAAACTAGACCTAAACATCAATTCTCATCTCTCGAATCTCGAATCAATATTGTCAAACTCATGCATAAAAGATCAGGCCTAATCTAGTCACAGAGCGTTAAATCAATCAATAGGAAATTAATCTAGCATAGACAATTAACAACAATAAATTACCCCTTCATATTATTTATGGATCCCCACAAACCCTAGAAAGAAAACTAATCACACATAATTAAATCTAAACTAATCAAAGCAATAAAATAAGACATGATGAGAGAATTAAAGTAAATAACTGAGATTAAAGTAGAAGAAATTGTTACCAAAATAATCTGAATTAAGGAGTTGAGTTAAGAACAAAGTATTAAGAGAGAGAAACTAATCTAGAAGCTAAGTAGAGAGAGAAAGTTTAAGAGAAGAAGTAAGAAAGAGTAAAAGAAATGATACTAAACTTGCTTAACGGAAATGTATTTATATTAAGCAAGAATCCTAAACTAAAACAAACTTAAACGACGATTAACATCCCCTAATGCTGACATGCACCCGATCGGGCGAGGCACAGCCCGATCGGGCCTGTCTTTTCACTCTCAGGTGCATCTCTCGCGCCTGGCCGGGCGCGAGTTCGGGCGCCAGCTTATTCTTCCCCCGCCCGGCCGGGAACGCCTTCGGGCGGGAGCTCTAATGGCCGGGCGACACTCTTGGGCTACTCATTGGACTTCGATTGGGCTTCAATTCTTTGGGCCAATCCGGATTTCCTCTTCGGGTCTTGAATACTTGGTCCAAATTCCCCGGTATCACATATACCGAGCCCTTAATCACCGGTTCGATGGCTCTAACCGGCCTTGGGCTATGAAGGATGGTCGTGCATCTCCAATGCTCGTAGTTGCTCCATAAAATCCCGGGAAAATGCTTCAAAAGTGCAAATCCCTACAAAAGTCAACCAAATCTATGAACACTAGAAAACACCAATTAGTAATAAAAGTGACTCTAA